GTTTTGGGGTTTTGTTTTGGTTTGGTTTGGTTTTGGGGTGTGTTTTGTTTTGTTTTTGCTATTCTTTTAAATTGCTCTGGACTCCATCAATAGGCCCAGCTGTTAAATTCAGAAGCAGTGACAACAAATCCCTTGGCAAACAAGTGCTGAAAGTAAGACCCCTTCTTTAGAATAATCAGAGATAGTTGACAAAGAGGACCATACCAAATGTTCTTTCAATATTCCATTAAGGAGCTGAACAGAAATAAACACATTTATATACATCTTAAAGCAAATTATAATTCTACCCCTCAGTGGATCCTGCTTGGTTATAAAATTAAAGATCCAACAACTATGAAAAACAGTGAGATAGTGTTATAGGTTTCAGAAGATTAGAAATGATCCTCACTAATCAAGTGTAAAGTGGGAAAAACTGGTTCCATCACCCAGAGATTATCAGGTACCTGATAAACCTTTTAAGTAGACAGACTTAAAGAACCAAGTGTAATTGTATATAAGCCTGTAGAACTCTTTGTGCTTTTACTTCCCTGACTTAAGCAATTTTAAGATGGTCAATTTTTAAGTTAAACATGTACTTTTGAACCATACGTAACCCCTTCTTTTTGAAGATGATTTTTTGTCGATCCCAGAAATCATCATCTGAACCTTATCTACAGTCTCTCTAAATACCTCAGTTCTGTCTTATTTTTCTGAAATCTGATGACTTTTACTTTCGTGTTACAACTGTTGAGTTAGGGCAGGTAACTGTTAACAGCTTGAAGTGAACAGGCACACATGTAAGAGATGTTCCCCTTTACAGCATCTACAAATCTCAATAAAAAGTGACACTGTAGAAAAATCTTGCCCATCTTGGGTCCTAGGTCACTAATACAATTAAAAATTTAGGCTAATAGCCTCATAGTTCTTATCTTTCTCTTTTCAACCACCCACCCTATTTTTTTAGCATGACTCATTAAATATTCTCAATATATTTTAACTCATTTTGGACTATAATAAAATACAAACCGCACTCATAGAACAGTTTTCATTAATCTAACTGCAACAACAACAAAAGCCTTAAAGTCTCATCTCCATTTAAATTGCAGTGATAAATATTTTATTCAGGGAAAACAAACTACATCCTTTTAAAGGGAATTACTACTGCTATGTAAAGGTATAGGTACAGACTACCTCCTCTCCCACCCCCTACCCCCCGCCCCAACTTTACACATGCAAAACCTAACCTCAAAATTGTGGGGGGGGGTTGGAAATCATAAAGTTACAATATTATGATCTTCCAGCTAACGCTCACTTAAAAAATGATTTTTCACCCAAATGAAGCGCCCTGAAATACCTAAGAAATATAAGCTGGCTTTATGTTCTCTTTCCCTCTATCCTAAGACTTCAATTTCCACCTTTTATGGAAAGGAAATAAACAACTAGCTTCCTGTTCAATCACTAGCTTACAGCCAGTCTTTTACACATCACGGAACACTCCCCGCCTCCTCCTTTACTTCTCTCAAATGTCTCTTATCTTAACTTAAACTTGTCGAAATATGAGACCATTTTACCACACTAGTGCTTCCCTATGAAATTTATCTCACTTTAATGTTAAGAATGCAAGGAACATCAAAATGTCCAGGGATTATTTCTTACTCCTAAAATATTTAAATTAAATAATTTACATAGTGAAGACTTAGCAAGTACGTGAAAGTGGAAATTCGATTTGCCAAAAGCTAAAAATACTGAAATTTATAGGAAACAGTTTAATCTTCCGTTCTTACTATTCTATACAACTAGAAAAAGGGCCTCACACATCCTCTCCTTTCTCTACTAACTTCATGAAAATGTAAAACGGCTAAAATGCCTATCAATAAAAAGGATTACCTTTAAAAAAAAAACCAACTAAATATTACTTTAACCCTATACTTTCCTTTAAAAATGGGATGCCTTAGAAGAACTCAGTTAGACAAATTCTTTTGTGCTTGGATGAACAACAGGAAAGCCAAGCCTCCAGGCCTTTGGGGAGGAACCTTGTCCCTGCAGCGGGCTCTGATGTGCTTGGGAGATAAGGCTCCATAGTGACACTTAAGGAAAGGCCTGTTCACATTTGAATTTCTGCATTCCTCAAGAACAATTCATGGCAATAACTAACTTTGCAGAAGAGCTACATGAAAGCTTTGGCCAATGAATGAGGGTCATCTGCTCTTTATCACAAGGGTAAACCTCATCCTGGCCAGTTTCTAACCTTTTAACCCTGTGAATTCCTAATTTACACATGAATAATGGAATTCTTGCCTAGAGTGCAACTTTCAGCTTCTAGTTCCTAAGTTTAGAAACCAAGACTTGATTGCCCACGTGTTAAAAATCTAAAACTTGCACAGATTGAAGTTTAAGATTTTCAGATGCTATACTTTTACGCTTCTGAATAAAAGATATGCTTGCTGGCAAATCTTTGATCAGAAAAATAAAAAAGAACATACTTGCACCCTGCTGCTATCAATAACTGGGAGAGAACCAGCTTTTTTTTTTTTTTAAGCGAAACAGAATGTCCACTTAATGCCTATTCTCTTCCTGTTTAATATGTATAACATCTTTACCCTGAACTTAGGATAAAGTCATTTGAGCCTACATCACTGGACATTGCTTTTTAAATACCCAAACTAACTTTGTGAATTCAGAATCCCTAAGAAGTCTCATGTTTCTAAAGGAAAATCTAAAACCACTATGTATTCATTTTAAATCTATAATACTGAATGTAATTTCCTAGCAAAGTTATCTCCACAGAGTTAAATAAAACACGTGCCTATGAAAAGTGTGGTCCCTATAACTGAGTACAATTGACATTTGCCAGCAATGTTCTAGTCTCACTAGAAAGTTTTTGATACTCATTACATGAAAACTACTTCACCACAAGAGCTTTCAAAACTATTCACATCTAATATTTATTATCCATAATTTTTACAGTTAGAAAAATCTAAAGATACTCAAAAAGCCAATACTAACATTTGTTTCGCTGTTAATAACACTTATTAACCTATACAGACTTTAAAGCTCTGTGTGTTTTCAAGGCATTTCTGAGTGCCTTAGAATTTTGTCAGGCTACTAAGGAGGTCCTGGAAACAATGTGTGGTCATGATAAATGCTTCATCCTTTCAAGGCCCATCCGCCCTCCTCCACCTTTCTGTTCTGCTCCTCTCCAGCAAAGAAATACAAACGACAGTTCCTGGTATGAAAAGCTTCCCACAATGCTGAAAAGGTGAAAAAATTACAACTCTACGCAACAATGTTATGTTACACAAAAAATAAATGAACACAGCACACTATTCTGAAAACAGCACAGAAAAACCAAAAACAAAAAGATTATTGGCTAGTGATTTATGCCAAACAAAAAAGTTTATCAGAAATTTTTTCAGGTTTTTGTTATTTGGGGGTGGGGGAGGTTAGAACTGGAAGCTTTTCTACCTTTCTGAAATATTTCAGTATAAAAGTATCTTTGCTTGGAACTTATTTTCTACAATTAATCATTACTGCACAAATAAATTACTACTATGATGGTGGCATAAATATGGCCATACACTGTTAAAACAGTTAGTCATCTAGAAAATCCCTGCCAATAGCTTTCTAAATTTCAGTTGTGTAGACGGTGAAGAAACTGCTTCCTAAAGATTATGTCTTTATCTTATGAGCTCCCTCTTCCTATTGTTCATTCTGTAAATGATCAATTTGTCAGTATTGCACAAAATCTATCTTTTGTGGATTAACAGAAGAATGTAGCTATGAGACTTGTAAAAACTATTTTTAAGGGGCACCTGGGTGGCTCAGTGGGTTAAAGCCTCTGCCTTCTGCTCAGGTCAGGATCCCAGGGTCCTGACATGGAGCCCCGCATCAGGCTCTCTGCTCAGTGGGGAGCCTGCTTCCTCCTCTCTCTCTGCCTGCTTCTCTGCCTACTTGTGATCTGTCAAATAAATAAATAAAAATCTTTTTAAAAAACTATTTTTAAGATACAGTTATTGTTTAAAGGTTTACATTGTCTATTGTCATCTGGAGTGTTGCATGTTTGATCCCTCAAAGAGGCCGGAAAGCCTCGGTGGGAACAAGGAGTTCCCCATCCATCCTAGGCCCATCTTTACACTCAACAGTTATCAGGTCAACCACCAAGCACTGGATCACTTGGACAAATGGCTGATCTGATGGGGCTGTTAATACAAAGGAAATCATTAGAGAGCAAACTTTATGACAAGTGGAATAAAGGGGGCAGATCTGGTTTAAATCCATTAGGCATAATATGGAAATGGCCTTAACCTCTTTCTCTCCCAGCAGAAAAAGACTAGGAATACTTCAAAGGCTTGAGAGTTAACTGACCAATGCCCTCTCTACAATTAAAAAGCAACATGAGTGATCTTAAAGCACTCCGAGAAATGGAAGGCTGGGCTATAAGAAAGATTAAGCACTCACGGGCCATCTACAAGCAGAAAGATCTACTTGTGTTTAAATTTTGATTATTAATTTATGAAAGATGAGAATTTAGAACTTTTGTTGTGTTAGCTAAAACTTTTGCACCCAACTCCTTTCATAGCGTGAAACACTTATAAATTTATATAAAGCTACTTCTACAGGTTTAGGTGTTCTAACTTGACTTTCATTCTCAATCACTCATTAATTTTTTCTCAGTCTTTTTTTTAATATTTTATTTATTTGACAGACAGAGATCACAAGTAGGCAGAGAGGCAGGCAGAGAGAGAGGGAAAGGAAGCAGGCTCCCTGCCCAGCAGAGAGCCCGATGCGGGGCTCAATCCCAGGACCCTGGGATCGTGACCTGAGCCAAAGGCAGAGGCTTTAACCCACTGAGCCACCCAGGTGCCCCTTTCTCAGTCTTTTGCTTGCCCTTAGGATCAGCTACTGTCTCCAAGAAAACTCTTCAAGTTTGTGTGACTTTTAGGGTTAGTACATAGTGAATCACAAAATCATCAAAATGTAGCAATGAAAACTGTCAGACAATGAAGAATTTAAACACTTACTTGACAAGGTAAGATGCGCTTTTTGACTAAGAATGGCTCCATATTTGTTCATTGCCAAGCACTGATAAAATCCTTCATCAGACAGCTCTCCTCGCTTGCCTTCCACTTCACTGATGTATAAAGAGCCGTTAGACAGAACCTGGATCCGTTTATTTTCAGACACTTTTGCTCCATTTTTCAACCATGTGACCTTAATAGGAACTTCGCCATGAGCCTGGCAATCTAAAACGACTGGGTCCTTTCTTGTGACAGTTACATCCTGTGGTTCTTTTATAAAAAACAGTTCACTAAAGCACCACACTCCTATAAGGAAAAAGAGGGGGGAGGCATATCCAGAATTACAAGTATAAAATCATTTCTTAACACGTAATTGTAAAACATATTCAGGATGTAACATGACAAAGTTTAACAAACATATTAGTTAACTGATAAACACCTTAATAAAGCAATCTAAGTTCAGCAAACCTTTCCAACAAATCAGAAAAATCATCTTTTACAACATTTACTCTAAAAGCATAGGGAAGATTTCATAATCATCTATCCCTTCTAAGAATCCTGTTCTCAAGCTCCTTGCTAGAGTATCAAAATCATCAGGAAAACTCAAGAGCACAAGCTGTTTGCTACTTTTACAAGCTTGTCAAAAAGATCTTGAACAGAGTAAGTCGTAAAAGTCTAATTTTACAAGAAATCATTAGCAAAACTCCAACTCTGTGAACAAGCAAGTTTATTTCCTTGTCCCTTGAAGTGTTTTGGACCCCTTGGCACCTACTCCTCTGGAAAGTGTGTTTATCTTTTGTGACAAATTACAAGTTTGCATTTTTCCATCTGTCCTTTTACAGCAAAGACTGTCTCCTCTCCTTGAAATAGATCCATTTACTTAATTTCTGCAGAGTAAGGTAGGTATTTAATGGGCAAACTGTAGAGTTTGAAACGCTGGTAACTTTTGCTGATTATACTCAGTGGGTGATCAGATTAGAAAACTTTTATTTTTTCTTTCTTTTCTTTCGAACTACCAACTGCTGGAAGAAAGTGTGTGACTAATTGGTCCTTACTGTCTAATAAGGATAGGAGATTGCTTAATCAACCAATACACATTTTTATCAGAGCAGAGCAAAGTTTTAATCTAAGCGTACGCATCGCCCGGGTCCCTGCCAGGAGAAAACATCCGATGACCTCTTAATACCCTGTCACGTCCTGCATTCTGCGCAAAGGTCAGGTAAAGTCTGGCATACTGATTGGGGAGTGTTAGGAGTTTGGGAATATTTCATCTTCCTTATGATGTTCTGAATACATGATTACAAATTCCCGGGACTGATCTGTTTCTCATCAAGGCAGGTCCTCGGAAAACTCACACACTAGTCATGCTCCCACGCTCGGGCTGCGGACTTCTAATATATGCCCAGGGCGACTCGAGCGACCCTAACAGCCCCGCGCTTCGAGGACCACTCCGGAAGGCGCCCATTGTGTTTCCGAGTCACATCTGACTTTGATCCTTTTCTCATGTTAACAGAAAACTAACTCCTCCAGAGAAGATTAAAGTCCGGGGTTTGTAACCTGTAAATAAATAAAATAACCCATTCTCCTGAACACTCTTCGTCCTCGCCCCTCGCAATCATCACATCCACTTTATACTTTTTTATCTCTTTGAGGATAAACCAGCGCAGATGCAAACCAGAGAAATTAGTTCATCCAACTTTGCACAAGGCTAAACTGGAGTTTGGAGGAATCTTCACACTGGCACACACCTCAGGCCCTGCCCCCGAAATACCTGGCTACGGGGGAGGGGGGATCCTATTCATAAGATTATACCTGCCTTCTCCGCTCTCGGTACTCCCCCCCCCCCCCGCCCCCAACACAAATCAGCCACGCACCTTCCAACCCATCTTGTCTCTAATTCCACCCCTCCCCTGTCCTTCTCCTCTCTTGATCCAGATCTGGGGAAATGGGGGCCCTAGGGGTGCTGCCCCCAAGGCTGAGTTCACCTATTCTCTCCCCTGGCCTAAAACGTGTGGGAAACCCCCACTGCAAAAAGGGGAAGCAGAGGGAAACCGCGGCGCCCCCTGCGTGGCCGGGCTGCCACTAAGGAAACAATATAAATAAAGCCACGTGCGCCGCGGCGGCCCCGGCGGGCGAGCGAGCTGGCGGCGCGGAGCTGGAGCAGAGGCTGGCCGCGGAGGCGAGGACTCGGCCGGAGCCCGGACAATGGCGCGAGGAGAAAGGGGGAAGAGTGGACAGCGGGCGCCACGGCCCTGCATGCAGGCTGCGGCTCACGGAGCGCAGCGAGGAGGGGCGTGTGCCGGGAGAGGTGCCCACAGCTCTGCCCGCGCCCCCGCACAGCCCGCGGGCCGCCCGCGCCTCCAGCAGCGGCTCCCGACTGGTAGCAGGGAGGGGGCAGGTCCGGTGGTCAGCGCACCGCGGCGGACCTCGCCGTCCCCCCAACACCCCCCCCTCGCTGCGGTTTCCTCTCTCCCCAGCCCACTCGCGCCTGCTCAAACCCCACAGGCGCAGAAGAAAGCGCGCCCACCTGGACCGGAGCCGAGCAGCAGCAGGAGCAGGAGCGCGCGGAGCAGCATCCCTGGCGGCCGCAGCCGGGCGAGGGGTCGCAGAGAAGGCGCCATTCAGCTGGGCTGCGCGGGCATGCTCCCCGGCCGCCCGGTAGCCGCTGTCCGCCTGCCTGCCCCCGCCTCCGGGCGCTCCCCACGCCGCTGCTGGACGCGCGCACCCTGGCTTCCCTTTCGGACTCCGGCGTGGCGTGGCGTGGCTCGGCGCGGCCGGCTGCGGGTCTCTGTGTCGCGGCGAGGCCGGCGCACCGACACCCGCTCGCAAGAGGCGGGGGGCCCGAGAGTCCGGCCTGGGGGCGGAGTGAGGCGGCGGCTGGAGGGGGCGGGGGCGGCGGAGTGGACAGCGCCGCCGCTGCCGGCCTGGGGACTACTTTCTACATCTGGCCCCTGGTCTGGGGACCGCGAGGTCGGTGCGGCCGGCGGAGGGAGACGCCAGGAGGGGGCCCCGTGGCGGCCCTGTCGCTGCCCCGCGGGGTGGGGGCGGGCCCCGCCGGACAATGCACCTGGGGGTCAAGCCCCGGCTGAGGGTCTTCGGCCCGCGGCCCCGCCCCCTCTGCCTGCCCGCCACCGTCGAGGACAGAGCCACAAAGGCCGAGCTTCGCGGCCCAGGCTGCCCCCGGGGCCCCTCTCCCGCCGGCTTGTTTAGGATTCGGGGAAGGAGGAGGCGGGGTGGGGGAGGGATGGTGTTGAGAGACGTGGAAAGGCCGGAGACTTTTCCCCTGATGGCCCCTGCCCATCCCCCTCCTTCCCTCACACGCCGAGGCCCTGTGGAGGGAAAACTGATGATTCCCACTTCGGAGATTTGTCAGCCTGACTGGAGGCATGTCCGGGTGCTAAGTGCCACATTTGGGGACGGCTCTCGCCCTCCCTGCCCCCCATCAGATGCAGCACTGGCTTAAAAACAGCTTCAAAAAAGTGCCCTGAAATCAACAATCACCTTTTGGGGAGATGTTTTATTCTCTGTTTCTCAAGTTAGTCAAGTTCTCGAATTCGTAAGAACTGTGCACACAAAGGGCCCTGTCCTAAGAGTTGAGGGGGAGATCAGGAGATTTCTAGATTCTCTGAGCTTGCCTTGGGGAACTAAGCGTTCTTAGACTATGAGTTAAACTGACCTGGAAAGACACAAATGTTATTAATTTGTTCACATCTCTTAAAATTAAGGACAACGAGAGGAGTTAAAAGGTACATTGGAAAATGTAATCAGATTGCTAAACATATGTGGATCTTAGAGATCATTTCCATGTGGATTAGCAGTTGCTAATCCAAAACTAAATCTATGGCACATGATGAGGGCACAGGCTAAAAGCTAACCTTAATGAAAGCTGCTGACAGAAATCTAGCTTTTTTCACTGAGTCATCAACACACTGCCTTTAGCATTTTCCCAAAACCCTCCTTATGAGAAAAACGTGGTGGTGGGGGGGGGGCGCGTCAACAGTTTTAGAACATCTGCTGGGAGGGCAGCACTACCTTCCCCGGAAGCTTTCTGTAATAAGGATCAGCCTGTTTAACAATCTTAACCCGTGTGAAGCAGAAATACCCTTGGCTATACTGCCTCCAAAACTTTACTTAAAATTTAGATGAATTAAAACGATTTCTAAGCATCCGTATAAAGGTTCATGGAAAGGGGAAAATGTTGAGGTAATAAAATGAAATAAAGAATGTTTTAAATATCTGATAAATTTACACAAATTGACATGACATTCTTGACTGTGTGCAAGCTAAACTAAATTCTCTAATTGTATGACATTCTTCTTCCTCTTGACTCCCCCTTATCCCAGTTTCCTTTCAGTTGACCCTAAGTGCTCATATTTCCTGCGTAAGAATTGCTAATAAGATGCTTTTATACTCTCTTTCTTGAATAAATCAGAAAAATAAAGGCTGGGGGAGGGGAGGGATAAGCTAAAAAGCAGGGGAAGAACTTTTTTCTAAATTGCCACTTTGCCTTTCCTTTAACATTTTAATTGATCATAGAAGCCTTTGATTCTTACAGGATGGCTTTGCACCTTGAGTTGCATTGGAGAAGGACATAGTATTGCTCTAATGTGAAATAAAAATGTGATATTTATATATGTATGTATAAGATATATAATGTAGTGAGATTAAACAACCCTACAGAACTTTTCTGATATATTTACTGTCTCTTGTTAGGTGTCAATAAAATTACTCTGATGATGTAATTATACAATATTATATAGAACTTGCAGAATACCCAAGGTCACTCATTAGTGAGTGGTAGCTGGGAACCAGAATTCATGTGTTCTGATTTGTTTGTTGCCCTTTCTACTATATAATCCTTTCTGCCTTCAATTTAAACTTCCTTTTTTCTTAAATATTTATTTGAGTTGAGGAGAGGGAGAGAGAATCCTCAAGCAGACTCCCCACTGAGCATGGAGCCCAACATGGGGCTTGATCCTCTCTACCCTCCGGGATCGTAACCTGAGCCAAAATCAAGAATTGGCCACTTAACTGACTGAACCACCCAGTAGCCCCTCTTCCTTCCTTTCTTACTTTATTTTTTTAAATCATCTATTCCTATTGGCTTCAGAATTTATAGCATACTTCTTTAACACAGTATATGTCTTCTTGGCCAGGTATGTTTTCTTTCATCTGTAGTACTTGTCTTATATCATGTGCCAGGTTGCATAAACTACTTAAGGCCTTGTTACACAGTTCTCAAATGCGCCGTAGACTCCAGCACAGTAGCTTGCATTTGGTAGGTAGTACTGCAGTGATGAAAATGTGTTTTGCTATCTCACAGACGAGGTTCCAAATTTCAGTATTTCACAGACAAATTATTTACTGTCTCAGATCTCATCTCTTTAATGGGCATCAGTATAATACCAGTAGGCTGCTGTGATATAATGCATGGAAAGTGCCTGTGTATAGCTCTGTAAATAATTGTAATGATTACATAGTAAGTAAATATTCCCTATAGTGATAAATCTTTGTCCCTTCAGAGTGGGTTTAATTTTTAAATATTTAAGTTTTTAAGAGTCGAATTTGATTAATTTGTTTGGTGATTACAGTGATGGCGACTCTGATGACTTCTTTCAAAAGCTCCTATGTTGGTCTGGAAAGAGGAAGTGTCTAGTTGTTTAATCTCCCAAAGTTATCCCCTTGAAAGATCAAGCTCATTGAGATAAACAACTACCTAAGCTCTATTTCTATTTTGCTTTCACATTCTAAAACAGGAACAATTATTTTCAAGCTATAGAGTAGAGCCCAGATAGTTGAGAACTGAAATCTGAGGGTAAGTTTAAAAAAAAAAAAAAGGAATTGCTGTTTCCTTAAATAAATATTCAAGTCACCTGGCCCAACTTTGGGGGGTGGAAAATCACATAACTTTAACCATCAAATTATGGAGCTATATCAAATGATCTTTAAGCTCTTTGATCTCTGAACATCAATCTATGAAATCCTAGGCCATTTGTATGTTTGTGAAGCAAGAGATTGAGAAAAGACAGCAAAAAGTCTAGAGTTGTTCAACTTTTCATTTAACAAATATTTATTGAGATCCTACTATGTTGGTTAGAAGACCCGGCCCTAGATAAGGATCACATGCTATGATTGTCTCATGACTTCAGAAATCACTCACCCATGAACTTAATTTTTGCCATCAGAAGCATTCTGAAATGGATTTTTTTTCATAGGAGGGTGGTAACTATTTGTGGAATTATAAAATTCCATAGCTCATGTTCCATGTTCATTGCAACACTATTCACAATAGTGTTGTTAATGTAGAAGCCAAGATGTGGAAGCAACCTAAATGTGCATCAAAAGATAAATGGATAAAGAAAGTGTGATATATATATATATATATTTCAGCCCTAAATAAGGAGGTCCTGTCATATGCCACAACATGAATGAATCTTGAGGACATTATGCTAAGTGAAATAAGCCCATCACAAAAAGACAAATAACGTATGATTCTGCTAATCTAAGGTATCTAAAGTAATCAGACTCATAGAAACAGAAAGTGGAATGGTGGTTGCCAGGGGGTATGGGAGAAGGAGACAGTTATGCTTCAATGAGTATGAAATTTATACAAGATGAAAAATTTCTAGGTATCTGTTGTACAGTAACATACATATAGTTAACAATACTGTTCACTTAAAATTGTTAAGAAGAAATTTATATAATGTAGGCTGTTTTTACAATAAAAAAAAATGAGGGGTTGTAAATGTATAGGAAAGTGAGTGGTGATGACAAATCAGAAGCCCATGTTTGCTAAGAATACATGTATCAGGGTAAGTCAAGGATAATGGAAAAGCAAAACACATCTTGATTTCAACAAGACATCTGACCACCCACATCTCTTGATATTCTTATGGAAAAATACTGATTGGTTGTTAAAGGGATTATGCAAAATCACACTCTGTTGAAGCATCTACTGCCATTCAAGAGCTCCACATTGTCAACTTTCTCTGATATACCTTTTAAAATCTGTTCTCCACTCAGTATCTCCTGCCACTGGTCATGTTCTAGCTCTCAATAGACTTCTCCCAAATCTTCTCATCTTTCCATGTTCCAATCCATTTCTATAGTGACTACCAGGTTAACTTGCTTCTGATCGAATTTTTCTTCATATCAAAAAACTTTCACTGCCCCCTCATTGCCTGTAAAATACCAAAGTGTTCATTATATAACAAACGCCTTAATCCTAATGGCCCCCTGCTCTGGTCCCAATCTCCCATTACAACTTTACAGTCAATCTTTTCCTAAATGTATTTGACACTCAGGCCAAAGTGAACCTTCTGATGATTGCCCCGATAGTACTTGAATTGCCCTGACCCTGAGCCTTTGCAGGAGCTCTTCCCTAAGCCTAGAAAACTATTTTACCCTCATCTCCACACTGTGTTGAGAGCCCTCTAAATTTTATCTATATTTTCAGACTCAGCACAGATGTTATTTTGTTTAAAACCTTACAGTATTTTTGTGGCATATAACTTATACATATTTTATCACTAGCATTTTGAGGACACAAATCATATCTGATTTATCTTTGTTTCCTTAAAGTGAGAAAGACCCTGGCCTTGCAATTAAGAGGAACTGAATAGATACTTGCTTACTGAAGAAATTACTGTAGTGAAATATTGTTTAAATAGGTAGAAAACAATTGGGAGAAATTTCTTGGGGAGAGTAGTACAAAATCGTGTACT